AGATTTTGCAGTACTGAACAAATGTTTCAAGCTTGACCTAGTGGTGCTGCTTCTCAACTCAGTTCAATTTCAGCTGCATGGTTGCTTGTGAGGCAAATATCTGAATACTTGGTTCCCTTTTGCAACATAGAATTGAGTAGGAAGTGGAAAGATGAAGTGGCTGTTACTGGTGTCACACTGAGAAGCAGAGATCTCACCATTGTATTCATGAGACATGGCAGAGGTCATCAGTTATGTAGAATTTTCAGATGCTCACTGGGCTAAAGCAGGCGGGTGGTGGGTTTAATTGTGGTGAAAAGAGGAAAATTAAAGAAAAGGGACAAAGTGCTAAAACAACATCAGGGGATGTATAATTCAGAATTTACACACATACTTGTAGTAACAGAAACGACTTCTCCGGGTAAAAGTGTTGCCTGATAGATAGTCAACCATTTGACTTCCCTGTGCATTTCTAGAATAAATTCTGCATGAGAGTAGGATGTGGCCTGGACTTCCTACCTGCGCTCCTTACTTTCTTGCCTGTATTAAGGACACTGTGTGTCTGCCTCGAGTTCTCTCCTATTAGGCAGTGCTACAGGAAACTGCCACTATGTGACCATTTTTTACCTAAAGCAAAACAGCAATTTCCTATGTTTTACTCAAATAGATTGAAAGTTCTTGGGTTTGGGGCCTCCCTGGTAGTGCAGTGGGTTGAGCGCAGCGCTGAGAAGCTGTCTGCAACCTCTGCAGCACCAGTTCGATTCCCAGTCGGCCAAGGAGAATAGTATTCCACACGGCGCAGCAGACCTCTCCCGTCTCGCCCGCTGCTCCCCTCAGCAGTGCTTTCTGTCCATCTGCCTGTTCTGTTTCCCGCTCTGTCTCTAGTGAGTCCTCTCACCCTCTGGCCTGTACCCCAGCTCTTAATAAATAAATAAATAAATAAATACATAGATACATACATACATACATACATACATAAATAAAAGAAAGCTCTTGGATTTGGGGTGCATGTCAGTCATCTCTGCATCTCTTATCTGCCTTGCATTTGGGGGAGTATCAGTAAGAAATGGCTGGGGTTAACTTTTAAAGCTCTTCTATATAAAAGATTTCTAGTTCCAACAGACAACACCATCCTATCTTATACCTTCAGTTGTTTTAACTGTTTAAAAAAAAAAAGTTCCCTCTCTAATCCCCTTATTTCTTCCCTCCATTTCTCTCACTCCCGCTACCTCTCTCTCCCAGTAACTTTTATTTCTAGTAATGACTTTCTTTACTCCCGAACACTGGGTGTGCCCACACCTTGGGTTCTGGATCTAGCTCTGTTCTTCTCTTTCTCTTCCACAAGTTCATCTACTTTCACATCTTCCACAGCCATTTTTACCCTGAAAGTTCTATCTCTGCCCAGGTATAACCTCAGTAGAATGTCTCTACTCTGATGCCTCAAGGTTTCTTCTTGGTGCCCTTGAATCAACGGGATTAAGTTGATTGAAGACAGGTCTCCCTTCATCATGGCCACTTCTATCACAGATGCCACAATTCCTCTAGTCCCCAGGAGGAGATGTCAGGTCACCTTGGACCATTATGGTTCTTTACTCAGTTACCCAGTCCTGTGCTTTCAAACAGGACTCTTTAATACAATCCTTCTCCTCTATTCTTTTCTGCTAACACATTGTACATCAATTGCTCCACAAAACCTCCATCTTGATCTTCTCTCAATAAAAAATAATTCTTCTACCACATTTTTCCTTATGTCTCTCTTCCCCCATGACAGCCCACAGGGCTCGTTCCCACAGTGCTGCATCAAATGTGAACAACTCTGTCAAAAAGCTACATTTGGTGTCTACTTATCTAACCTTACTTTTGAAAATATCTGTGTCCTCATACTATTTCACTCATAGCTCTACTGAAGTTTATTTCATATTATATTGTTTACATAGCTCTCTTCCCTGCTAGTCAAGCGCTCATCTTAGTCTCCACAGGAATAGCACAGAGCACAGTATCCAGTAGGGACTGAAAAGGGGATTGCTGAATATGTATATTTTACTCAGGATATGACCAGACAGGGAGGTATTAAAGTAAGCCAGACATAAATTGAAGGAAAAGGACTGGGGAAGGTCCCCTCTTCCAAGTTCTTCTGGCACCTTACACTCTGATCCCTAACACTCGCTGTTTTCCTCATTCCAGGTGAGAGTGCCGCGGAGGAGGCAGTGCTCAGCCACTGCTATGTCCCAAGGCACAGTGTCTGGCCTCGAGGAGTTCAAGGAATGTGCAATGGGTATTTGCTGAAAGAATGAATGGATGTCCCTATTAATGAAAATTAAATTATGAATGATGATTAATAGGATCCTTCGCCAGCCCCCTGCCCCCTTTCCAGTGAGCATTCCTGCTCTTCTCACCTCTGCCTGCCTTTCTCCTCTACACAGACCTACCTTTAAGATCTAACCCAAGTGCTACTTGCTTCATGACAACGCTTCTATTTCAGATGCTTTATCTATCTTTGATGACTTATCTCTGTCTTCTTATCACATTTATTGGCTACATAAAACCAACAATCTCTTACTGAGACCATTATTGCTTTATCCTCTAATTGCTTCCTGTACTAAAGATATAGTCCCTTAGGGATACAAAAAAATAAACTTTTCTTAGGTCTCTCAATACCTATACTGGATATGGCTAATACGGTTCTCAATAAATCCTTATTATTTGTTTGAAGAAAATGAATCAGGTATCATTTATATCAGGAAGAAAAGAAATTCTTCCAGTCTTGCAGAAAACACCCTTTTCCTTGTATGTGATCTTAATCAGAGCAATTCAGATGACTTTGAGATTAGCACATCTGTATCTTAATTTGTAGTAAATATGTCCTTTAGCTGAGAATATTACATAGTACTAAAAATCAAATGGTATTTTAAACTTAGGAGGAGCTTGCCAACAGATAAATCCAACTTTGAATCATTTTTCTAAAGCAAATGATTCCTCCCTCAAATCTTCATTTATCACATACTAAAATAACATCCTATTATCTCCAGATTGCTTATCATAAAAAGCACAGAATTTGGTAAAGATAAGGGACTCTGAGGACAAAACATCTGGAGGAAATTCTCGTTCTGGTTTATATTGAGAGTGTCATATGTTCTCAATCTTAACCTTCATATTCATTGCTCAGAGTTGGCTTGTAAAGGATAATTTGTGTCCTAAAATATTAGGGTAAAAAACAAAAGTAGAAAATAGGGAGAAATAAATATATGCTTAGCATTGAGGCTTAAATTCATCCATTCATTTATTCACCCAACAACATACCCTATCCAACTTGTTACTATGCTAGGCGCTGTGGGAGACTGAGGGATTAATCAGTCTCTACTATAGGAAGATAATATAGGCAGACAGTGCTGAAGGCCTAATAAAAGAATAAATAAAATGCTACAAAAATCAGAATAGGGAGAACATTCTTCTGGAGTACTTGGATTATTTCTTGGAACAGGGAGAATCTGAAATGGGTCTTAAAAATGGGTATCACTTAGACATGTAGAGTTGTGGGTATATAAGCTCCAATAACAGGATGAACAAAGGCCTGTGGGAGTTAATGCTCTGTTTCCATAAGGCACAGTGAGTGGAGCAAAAATAGGAAGTAAGGTTAGAAAGCTAGTCAGGGGCCTCCCCGGTGGCACAGCGGTTGAGCGCTGGGTTGTGAAGCTGCCTGCAGCCTCTACAGCGCTGGTTCAATCCCCGGCCACCGGGTGAGGGTCCCACATGGTGCGCAGACCTCTCCTGCCGCCCGCTGCTCCCCTCAGCAGTGTACTTCGTCAGTCTGCCTATTCTGCTCTACCCTATGGCTCTGGTGAATTCTCTTACCCTCCCACACTTCTGACTGTACCCAGTGCTTGTATAAATAAATAAATCTTAAAAAAAAAAAAAGAAAGAAAGAAAGCTAGTCAAAGGTCGGACTTGAAGACTAAGCCAAGGAGTGCACACCTTTGTGAACAGAGCAGCATTTCTCAAACTTTAATATGCACACAAATCACCTGGGGCTCGTTACAGTAGACCTGGGGGTGGGAACTGAGATTCCCACAGCACTAACATCCCAGGTGTTGCTGATATTGGGAGGCCCCACCTTGAGCATCAAGAGCAGAGACACTGGGGAGCCACTGTACAGACACCCTGCCTGGCCCCCAGTGTGTTCCAGGAAGACTGAACTGCTTAGAGTGGAGCAGGCAGGTTGGAATGGGAGTAGAATATGGTTCACAACAGCGGTGGTTTGTTACAATCATCTGGGATGTTTTATACCAAACTGTTTCTCAGACCCTATTCTTGGAGTTTCTAGTATAATTGGTCTGGAGTGGGGCCCAGATTTCAGCATTCTTAAGAAGTTCTCCAGGGAATTCTAATGTGCAACCTCTACTAAAGATGAAATGTGGTGTGCAATCATTCAGGCAAAGATGATCTAAACTAGGGCAATGGCAGTGAGAACAGAGTCAAGGAGCCAGTTGCAGAATACACTGTAAATGTATCAGCCCTTAGCAACTGCCTGGCCAGAGATTCAGATGTATGGTCACAACATCATTGATATTTTCTGGTTGAAGTGGTTTAATGAAATGGTTAAGAAAACAGACTCTGGAGCTAGATCACCTGGGTTTGAATTCCAGCTGTTATGTATTTCCATGTGTGTGAATTCTTAGGCAATCTCCTGAACTTGTGATTCGTTTTCTTCATCTTTAGATTAGAGATTTTAATAACAACCCACAAGCTACAGAGATTGAGTCCACATATGTGTAAAGTCCTTAGAACCATGCTGGGCACATAGGAAGAGGTATGAAAGTGTATTAGCGTGGTTCATCTCTTCTGACCTTTCCAGGATGTAAAACTGATCTGGAAAAGGAAAAATCCTTGAAGTTCTCAACCCTCGGCCAATTTGAAATCACTGCGTTACCTGTTTCATGAAACCCACTGGACAAGGTGGCATTCCCACCGCCCACCCTCCCGCACCCCATTGCCAAGGTCTCTAAGAAGAGCCAAAGCCCTACTTGAATTGCTGGTCCTTGGTGCTACGCGTCTTGGCCAGGAAGCGCTCTGCCAGCTTCTCCAGGTTGCGGGAGTAGTCCATCTCGATCTCAGCCTTCTTCCGGAAGAAGTCCTGGAGGTCCTGCAACAGCTGCACCCGGAGCTCACACTGCTGGTCCAGGCATTTCATCTGCTCTGTGAGCTGAGCACGAATCTCTGCAAGAAACAAAGGACAGTCTGCTGGAGCGGACTAAGACCAAAACCACATGTGCCATTTTCTTCCATTTAATCATTCCCTGTCCTCTGGGGACTTAAAGTCTTTCATTAAAAACAAAACACCCTAAGCCTAGCCCTGCCGTCCAGTGTGTGACACCTCCCAAAACCCCAGCAACTCCTCGCAGACCATCGAGGAACATCTGAAGCAGGAACCTGTTGGATCATTTCGAGAAACTGCTTGTCAGACTCAATAATATTCAGAGGCACCATTTATTAATCAATTTACTGTTTGTCCTGGCAGTGCCAGAATCTGGACTCTCTTCTGGCTGAGAACCTAATGAATTATACCCCACCATCTCCTGAGGCAGGCGCTACTGCCATTCCCATAGAAAAGCTGAGCTATTGAGTGGTAGAGATCCAAATCTAGGCTGACTTTAGAGGGTGAGCTCCTACTCTTTACGCTTTTTCCGCCATTTCTTAATGTTTTTCACTATTTTCACAAAGCAGGGGGAAGGTCAGGAGATTTTATTTTTTATTTCATTTTTTTAAAGATTTATTTATGTATGCATAAAAGAACTGGGGAACAGGCCAGAGGTGCAGGGGGTGAGAGGGTGCACCAGAGACACCCTCTGTGTAGAACAGAACAGAGTGGGAAGCAGAACAGGCAGATCTACTGAAATACATGGCTGAGGGGGGCATCGGGTGACACAGGAGAGGTCTGCTGCACCATATGGGTCATCTCCCAGGCCAGGGATCAAACCCCTGCTGCAGTGGCTGGCAATAGCTTGACAGTGCTGTGTCTTTAACCCCTGTGTCACCAGGGAAGCCCAGGTCAGGATATTTTAAAGGAGATACCAAGGACCTACCCAAGGTCAAAGGGTGACCATCAGGAATGGAATATGCACCAGGGCTTCCAAGCAAGAAGATCATTCACTGCCCATAGTTTACAATATCACAACATAAATCGGTCTTCAGAAAGTTCATTTTTTTCACAGCAAATTCATTCATATCTCTGTTGTTTCAATCTCTCCAAAGCTCAAACTCTGAGTTAGAGGTATTTCTGGTTAAGCTCTAGGATGGCAGACTTCTGGCTGGTCCCAGTCCTCACACAGGGCTAGCAAGGCCCATCTCTCTGAGCTACAGCAACGGCAGTTTCAGGTACAACCAGATAGGCTTCAAATGCAAACCGTGCTTGTTACAGACAAGAGTCCCGGCACCCGCAGGAAACAGTCTGCCCAAGTCAGGCTGCTTTTCAGCTCAGAAAAGTCTTGCGGCGCACATCCTGCTAAAGTTGTGTCCCAATCCCCATCTCAGTGAGAACAGAGCCATTTCTTTCATTCTTTTCCCTGCAAGTCTGCTCAGTTCCAAGGTATGTGCATTAGGATATGACAGTGACTCCAATCCTTGGGAAAAAGAGCACCTACATCATTACACCTTTCCTTAGGTATGCTTCCAATTTATTCCTAAATAGTAAAATTGTAATCATGCTCTGTCTATGCTATGCAATCCATGGGAGGGAGAGAGAGTTTTCACATGAGTGGTGGATAAATCATAAGCAAATCTCAGATTGAGACTACGACGTCGTAAGATTCACCAACTAGACCTTTATGAACCAATGAAGGGTGGGCCAATAAATTGTATATTTAGTTTTTGCCTTGGAGTAGCTGGGAGAGAGAGGGGAAGGGACAGGGGGATGCTCGTGACCTATCCCCATCTTCATTTTTATTTGATTTCACATGTATCAGAATATGGCACAACTATATGGCCTTTTATGGGTGATCTTCGGTGACCAGTAGGTGCAGTTCTTCCCCTCTCTGTCCCCATGTCTCCCCCATGCCAACCACTGGTGCCAACCAGGTCTGCAGTAACCTCACCTGAACTGAAATTGAGCACCAGGAGATTGTTTCAAGCAGACAAGACTGCACAGAAAAACTCCTAGCTCATCACTCGTCAAAGCTCTCTTGTTCTGTGTTTTTGGAATCTGATTACAAGGGTGCTGGGGGGAAGATGTGCAGAGGGCATGTCAGGTATCTGGTTCTCATCAGCGATTTCTGGGCCTCTTAAAGGCAACAGTACTTGTTGACACTATTCTAGAGACATCTGCCCCCTTCTATTGATGAAAAGCTGGCAGTAATAGCCTGGGGGTGAAGAGGACATTCAAAATGCTCATCGAGCTTACTGACAACTTGTCCATTAGATGAGACCTTCAGGCAAACGGGTTCTCTAGGTAGCAGGTGGCAGCAGGTGTGCAGGGGCTACAGAGAGGAGCCGTGGTCTGTCAGCTCACTCATAGACACTGAAGATTGCCTCAGTAATCTCACTAACCACAGGAGCATAAAGGAACAAACTAGAATGGATGACCTCTCCCTCCTAACAAAAACAGAGGGGGTAGTCAAATTCCCATGACATGCATGAAGGCCCAGAGCTGGACCACTCTAGGACCGTCCTGTCCAAGGGACAAGCACCTCAAAGGAGACCTCTTTGATATGTGAGTTAATCCACGAAACCCCCAGCACATCCCCCAAGCACAAGATTCCACCGGCCTTTCTCAGGTGCCTCGCCGGACGAGCAGTGCAGCACACATGAATCCCACCCTTGGCACCTATGGGCACACGAAGCATGTGCGACTCACACTTCTTACAGTTCCTCTGTACACACCATCACATTTAATCCTCACCGCTAATCCATGAAGTACTCCCAATTATCCTGACTAGACTGAAGAAGAAACAAGTAATTTACCAAAGGGTCACACAATTAGGTGTGAGCGCACTGACGGTACATTAAAGTTTGCCTGAATAGCCAAAGATGGTCATAGCAGGGCAGGGAAACAAAGAAGCTGAACATGAGTTTGGCCTCTGGAGGCATCTTTGGGTAAATCACAGCAACTATGTCTCCCACCCCGGAACACCCCCTTTTCTACCTTCGAGCTCTGGGTGATTCAGTCCCAAGAGTCAAGTCTGAACTAGCCCACGGACTCACTAGTTAGACCATGATTCAACCAGGGCTGGGTCCCTTCCCTGCTTCCTATATGTACTCTACAGTGCACCTTTGGAGAAAGTGCTTTTCTTGTCCTGTGAGCCCAGAAAGCCCAGAAAGTGATATCCCCACCTAGGTCCAGGAAAACAAGAGTCTCTGCTAATAGATCCCACCTGCCACTGTGGTTTATTTGTGATATGACACCACCGAGCAACATCCCTCCCCTACAACCTGCTGGAAAGCAGATGCCTCCCTGGCTTCCATGCTCAGAGCACCCATACTCTGAGACCCCAACGTCCCCGATCTCCAGACTTGCAGCTCCAAGACAGAATGGCTGCTATGTCCAGGTCAAAATGTGCTGCTTTTGGCTTTTGCAGCCACTGCTGCTATTGCTGCTGCTGCCGTTGCTACCATTGCTGCTAAGACAAACAATGGTCCCCAAGAAGCCAGCTGTGCCAGCCCCAGTCCTCTGTCCATGCACATAAGGGGCAGGAACAATAGGCCACTGAAGGCCAGCATGCCTGGGTCATGTGCCCAGGCTGGAGGCCCCTCTGCACCCTGGCCTACCAACAAACTACAAGGGCAGAGAGAAGAAAGGGGCAATTTATAAAAAACATAGAGGAATTCCTCATAGTTCCCTTGTGTGATTAGGCAAGCATGCACGTGCAAATGTATGCACAGTCAAAGACACAATCGCACCACCTACATTGTGCTTCACAAAACCAACTCAAAAATCCAGTTTGCAGTCAGATGGGAGTTCCTGGGAGCTGGGGATGATGGGTCTGCCGTCATAAAACTAGGTCTGTCCCTAGAACTATAAGGAAAGAACTACAAGCAGCTAGATCTCAGAAGCATGAATAAATTCTCTGCCCATCCACAAAGTCAAAGGATGATGGTCACAATGAACTACCTGGAGAAATAAATGTTATAAATGACCTTTCCCGGGCAACCAACACAGTTGGTTTATTTATTCATTTATTCATCATTTATTCATTTATTCATCAAATCTTTGTGGAGTCCCTATTGTACCCTCCCCCTGCTAAGAGATAGTCATGGAGAAAAACAAAACAGGCCCGAGTCCTGCCCTCAGGAACATGACTAGACAAAGAGGAGGAAAAGAAAGAAAGAAAGCTAACTAGAATGTGACCCCAGTGAGCTGGAATTACTGGTGATGGTTGCATAACCTTGTGGAGATAAATATATATATAAACATTAAAAAAATTGCAAACTTTTAAAGAGTGGATTTTATGACACATGAATTATATCTCATTTTTTAAAATTAGCCCCATCAAATAGCATGTTCTGATGAACACTATCCTGCCAGCTAAGTGGAAAAAAAAGGCCAACCAACAAGCAAGAAAAGGAGGAAGGAATTCTTGGTTTCCCTTCTCCATTTGTATGGGCCAAATCTCAGTTCTGCACTGAAAATTCATAAAGCAATCTTGGAAGTTGCTCCTCTGGATGGGAGACTTGGCCATGACATTGAATTCCACTGATGGATCACCATTCATTCATTTCCAAAGGGTATCAGATCAAAACCTGGCAAGGAACGGTTTTATGCATGAGATCAGCTCCAGGATCAACAGACACACCCAACAAAGCTTCCCCTGGGAAGGTCTGACTCCTCATCTACACTTGGCCACAGATGGGAAACTGCCTACACCTGCCCTGGGAGGCTCGTTTCCATTTTAGAAAGATGCTGAAAGGTCATGAGAAGGATGAAGGAGGACAGGGGTGCCAGGACAACTAATCCTAGCAGGATGCTCATCATTTAACAAAAAAGGCTGGGGTCCTGCCACACCAACAATTAGGCAGACTCTAAATTCTATAACACCTGTCAAAGCAGCCGGCACACTCTGAAAACTGTCCTCACGTCAGATAACACCAGGGAATCCACCAGTCAGCAGAGTCTAGGGGGAGTTTGCTCAGCTTATTACTTTCAGTCTAGAGACATTAGCCTCTTTGAAAATTCACCTCCTTCAGGGATTTTCTCCGATTAAGTCATATGGAACCCCCCCTCCCCA